ATTATTTTTAACATATTTTATAAAAATTAAAAAAATTCAATTTGATTAATTCTCATTTAAAATTCAATAAATTTTTAATTTTATTCATAGATTACCCGTTATATAAATAAAATCAATACAATAATAAATAAATGATTAAATTATATATCTATATAAAAAATTTCTCTCATTGTTCTATAAATGAGACTAAAAAGGGTTTTCTTTCTCTGTCTTATAAATAGGTTGGAGGAGTAATTTGTAACAGTACTTAATTTCTTAAAATCATTTTTAAAGCATTAAGTATTTTAAATTTTTTTAATAGTATTTACTATCTTAAAGTATTTTTTTTTCATTCTGAAAAGAAAATTTAAAAATAGAATTAGCTAAACCAACTTCATAGAATGGAACCCACTGTTATGTTATACTAGGAGAGTAGTTTGGCAATGGGACAATGCACCAAATGCGTCATAAATTGATAACGATTTTGGAGAAACTTTTTCCTGGTGAAACTCATCATACTAAGATTGGGCATAATATATTGTAATTTAAGAAAGCCTCTGTTATTACTTATTTATTTATTTACTTACTGGCCTTCCGTTTTGTGGCCTTTTATTAGAAAAATAGTTTCTTCGCCCATAAAGTTTTCCATAAAAGAGGGCGATCCAGCTTTTAGCTTTTCAACCCGGTAAAATTTGGTTAAATTACATAAAATTCCATTACTTTGGATTATGTATAAATGACTTCATTTTTTGACCTTTAGTTAATAAATCCCTTGAGTTTTTAAATCTCTAAACGGATAACCCATAGCTCCGGTCAAAAAAAAAAAAACGGATAAGCCATATCCATCAATTATATATCTCTTAAACTTTAATTTTGTGTGTATACATGATTTTTAACCAAAGTCAAATTTATATATGATTCGAAGTTTAAAGGATGTGTGTAATTTAGCCTTACAGGTAAGTTAATTTTTGCTCCAGGACTAAGAACTGCACTGTTCCTATTTTATATGAACGGTATGCTTTTTATTTTGTCCTTGATATAAGATTTAATTGAATAATTTATTTATTTTGTTAATATTTTTAAATTAGTTAACTTGACCTTATATTATTAAGGATTGGAAATACTGACTTTTATATATAGTCCCTCTCGTGTTTACTATATGATCATTTTAACTCCATATAAGAATCTAGTGAAGATCAGAAGAACTTGTTAAATTTATTATCAATCATTTGAATCCTATGTTTTATAATTGCATTCATATGTTGTATATTTAAAACATTTTAAATATATTTAAGATGCTTATATTATATCACACACACACACACACACATTATGAGTTCAAAATTAGTGTGTATTTAAAGTGAGTTTTACATTTTACATTCAATATTCAACTAGGACTATATGCAACTTTCTTCTCCCCTAAGAAACTCCAGTCCACTCAGAAGAAAATAAAGTACATTGTATCAAAACAACAATAACTTTGTTTGTTAGATAACTGAGACCAAGTTTAACAGAACAATTTTGGAGCTACATTTATTCATGTTGACTTGTTCTATATATTTAAAAAAATGCTTTTAAAAACATTTATTTTCTTGAAAAAACCATTTTTTACAAAAGGTTCATTTTATCATGCAACTTGGTGTTCATGTAACCAATTGGCCAGACTTCTATAGGATCATTAGGAATTTAGGTTGCATTGTTGGTATAAAATTGACAATATGTCGGGTGGCTAATGGCTATAGGCTATAGCTGCCATGGAGGTTCCCAATAATTCACAGTCCAACTAGTCATGCGCAGTCATTATTTTAAATTCAAACATATTATGAAAATTTAAAAGGGCTGTTACAAATGATAGCTGTTAGAACTTAAAATTGCATCTTTAAAATTTTTACATGAGTTTGAACGCATCATTCGGTCAAATAAAATGCCTGAATACGAAAATTCGGTTGTTTTCATGAAGATATACTCCTATGATCTTATTTATAGAGTAAAAAAAGCTTTTTATTTTATTTATAAGTGACATCATTTTATTTTTAGCACATACTATTTTATTCTTTATTTATTATAATGTAGATAATTATTTTTTTAGAATTATCATATAAATAGAATCAAAGGGATAATAGTTTGAAAATATAGAAATGAAATATTCATGGCAAAAAAAGATAACAACTCATTAACAATTTGTGTTTGATTTTTGTAGACAAACAATTAAAAAATTAATGATTATTTGCTGATATGTATACACACACATGTATAACTAATACATAGGACAATAAAATTTTTCTTTTTAATTTATAAATAAGATCACAGAGGCACATAGAAAATTAAGAAATCCATGATTTATAAAAATACTTAGACAAGCTGAGCAGCAAGAGACAATTTACTTGGGATTTAACCTATAATATTAATAACTCAACATGAGGTCAAATTAGTTTTATTAAAAGGTTGTTTGGGTGAAAACCAAATCATAATTTTAAAAAGAGTTTTGTAATATAAAATAAATATATGAGATGAGTTTTATCTTAATTTGTATGAAAACAACCTTAAAAAAACGTTTTTAGAAGGTATCCAAACACCTCCAACACACAGGATCAGATCAACATTGTACGAGAAGCTAACTTTTCCAAATATGGACATGTGTTATCGCATTATTTACTTTCTCCATCCTTTATTATTTATAGGTGAGTAAATGAAAGGGAACACAAATGAGAAAAACGATTAAAAAAATGATTAAAAAAAGAAATAAAATTGGTAGAAATACATTTTACGCTCAGACAAAGCCATAATTTTGTTAAAAAGGACGGAGGGAGAAATTCAAGAATTCGGGGAGAGTATTATTAAAAAAAAAGTGAGATTTTTATGAAAATGTAATCAATAATTGTGGGAAGATAGCACGTCAATTTTTTTACACCAAAAAGATATATCTTTTTACCGGAATAGTAAATCAAATATGAAGAATGTAGTTGTATGAAAAAATTAATTTGGAGGTCAAAAAAGTTATATGGAAAAATGACCTCGATCGCTGAGGCGGACAACAAATGAACGAAATACCAAAAAAGCGAGTCAAGTACTGAAAGTGACGCTGTTTGGTAGAAAAAGAAAAATTGGCAAGCTCCTCTGGAAATTATATTATCGGCATTCGTATTTTATTTATTTATTAATTGTTACATATGAATGTATGGCCAATTTTGGCTGGTGGGCGCACACACATCCGACTGAATCTTGAATATATTAGGATTTCATCGACCTGTCACGCGGTTACCGCAAAGCTCCAAATTAAATCTCCACCTTTTTCAACAAGCATCTCCTCTCCTTACAAATATTTTTGTCCCAGCTCTGCTGGCAGCATGTAAACTCCCATGTACTAGAATAAGAGTTGATTTAGCAGGTAAGAGTCATTTCAAAACTTATAAAATCATAAGTTTAAATCCTACCGTCAATGTAAGAATCTTGTTGATAGGTAATCTATAAATGTTTTTGTAAGTGTTCTCCAAATCTGAAAGCATGTCCTCACTTCAGTAAAAAATGAGCATTCGATAACCAATATGCGGAAATACTTTGTGGATAAGGATATGAAAACTATTAAAATAGTTTTCAATTTTTTTATGTTTTAAAAAGTTTTAATATGAATATGATACTTAGAAAATCTTAAAAATGATATAAAGTTCAAAAGTTTTTAAAAAAAATTATTATTATTATTTCAATATTGAGACTTTACAGCTTTCATTGTCCCATATGTTTGGATTGCTTCTTTAGCTGGCTAGAAATCATTGTCAAGGATATAAAAAATTATATATATATATATATATATATATATATAGACATACCCGTATACCCTAGAAGTATCATATCTCACTTCAACGCAAAAGATATGTACGTATCTCTGCAAATCAGAGTTCTAGGCAGCTTATACATTGCACTTGGGGAGAGACGGAGAGTAACATTCAACGCATCTGAAGCAATGTTGGAAATGGCAGAATACTTGAAGATGTTAAGTAATGCTATATAGTTAATAGATTTTAGATACAATTTGTTCTTTTTCTCCCGGGAAAACAAAAAAACAGATATCATTTGTTCACGTCCCTCTCTCAACGTTTTAAGAAATGCGCAAGAAAAAACTATTTTATAGGTATCTGTGTTTTTTATCTTTTAGTTCAGTATTTATACATTTTTTAATTAAATCTTTTAATTTTATTTTATTACTATCACTAAACCCCACCAATACATATAGGTTTCGTTTGGTATGAAATATTAAAAATAAAGAGTAATAAGAATCGTAATTGTTATTGAAAAAATTATTAAGGAATATTTAGTACGAGTAATTTTTTGTCATATGAGATTAGACAATCCCATGTATATGAAATTGAGAAATACTACCTCCGGTCCTAATTATAAAAGCCAGTTGACTAATTTGAGGAGATTAAGAAAGTAAGTTGAGTTAGTTATTTATTTTAAATAGGTGTTGTTTTTCCTAAAATATCCTTGCTAATCAAGCGTACTGACCAGAACTATAATTATTAAAAGAACTATCTTGAAAAAAATTAAGTAAATATGAGAGACAAAATAAATTAGACTTTTATATTTAGGATCAAAATAAAAGTTAAATATGGTTTTATATTAAAGATCGAAGGTAGTACTAAATTCCCTTATGATATTTCTTAATCTCACATGTATAAATTTGCCAAATTCCAAATAACAAGTAACTATTCATACTAAATACTCTTTTGATATATTTTTTCAATTTTAGTCTCAATTTTTACTCATCATTTTTAATGCTTCCTACTAAATGAGATTATAGATCTTAGTGTATATATATTTTTTTTGCTTCTTAATTCATCTTGGAGGGAAATCCTCTCAACTTAATTTTTTTCATTTTTCTTTTATTTTCATGACAAACAAGTGGACCCCACATATATCTGTCTCTCTCATCCTACTTTACCGTACCCCAGTCCCCGCCCTTGTGTCCGTATGACGCGTTTGTTATAAATAGACCCCTCTTCTCATCTCGGATACCCACCACACTTCCTAGCACCGCCGCAGCCACCACCGGAGCCCGCCGCAGCCCGTCCCCCATCGGAGTTCCTATCTTGCATGGCAGTGAGCTTACTGGCACATGAGGTATCCGACCTCTGCCTTGGCAAGCCGGCGCTGAAGCCGCTTCCTCTGTCAGCCACTGTCGCCGACGCCTTGGCCGCCCTCAAGATCTCCGACGACAACTTCATCAGCGTCTGGAACTGCAGCGATCACTCCGTTGCCGCTGGAATCGGCTTCGGCGAGGAAAACGATGACCTAGGCTGCCGATGCGTCGGCAAATTGTGCATGGTCGATGTTATTTGCTACCTGTGCCGAGAGGAAAATCTTTTGTCTCCAACGGCTGCCCTGAAGGCGCCTGTCTCTGCGATTCTGCCTAGAACTTCAGGTGTCGTGAGACATCTCGAGCCTTCTTCGAGGTACTTCACGCAGACCATATGATTTATGCTGGAAATGTTGGTTTATCTCTCCCCCCACCTCCCCCCCTTTCTGATTCTTCTGGTGATTTTTTTTAATTTTTTATTTTCACTCTGTTTACCGTATATCAAGTGAGACTTCTGTGGAATTTTAATTGCTGGGTTGAAACTTGAAAAGCAAGCTGTCCTGTTTTTTCATTGCAATTTTTCCACTTCTAATTGATAGCTGGAACAGTGTCACCATTTAATAGCTCGTTGAGCGGACGAGTTCAATTATATCTTAAGTTGAACAAAGATGCACACTGGATCTTTACTTGATTAAGTTAAATTTTCTTCTTTTTTTTTTTTTTTTTATCAATCATCGTTTTACTGCCGGTCATTTGTGTGAGTAAATACTAAAAAAAATCTCTATTGGAAGGTAAGATCTTGAATTAATTCTTCAAATTTGAGTTTCTAACCGCACAATAACACGTGAAGCTCGAATTTAGACAAGAAATTTCTGATGGATTTTATAGAATTGTAGAAAGCATTTCATGTCAAGGAAAAATGGCAAACTCTAACACCTTATTTCTCCAAGAAGAAGGGTCTCTAGGTTACCAGTGAGTGATTGTCTGAACGAAGAAGATTTAAATGAACTGAACTTGAAATTGTTTTTTTTTTTTTAAGCCTTCAGGGGGAATAGTTTCCTACGATGAGGGAGTTATGTTCAACAATTTTCTCTTGACATTTTGAAGCTCTGCTTCTGCCTTGGATTTATACAGCTCAGATGATCACCAATTAACCCACTATTTATTTTGATTTTTCAGCTTATCGGAAGCCATTGATTTGATCCTTCAAGGAGCACAGAACCTTGTAGTGCCATTACCAGCCAAAAGAAGCGGCGTTTCAAGGAGAAAACAGCACCAGAAATCCTCAAGCAGCTCTGCAATTTGTACAAGCCACAATGGTCGTGAGTTCTGCTGGCTGACTCAAGAGGATGTGATCCGCTTCCTTCTTGGTTCCATAGGCGTCTTCTCTCCACTCCCTGCTCTCTCCATAGACACCCTTGGCATCATCAGCTCCGAGGTCTCGGCCATTGACTACTACGCCCCGGCATCTTCTGCCGTAGGAGCCATTTCAAATTCCCTCACAACACAAACTTCAGTGGCCATTGTTGATAGTGAAGGAATCTTTATTGGTGAAATCTCTCCCTTCACCCTTGCCTGCTGTGATGAGACTGTTGCTGCTGCTATCACAACCCTTTCTGCTGGGGATCTAATGGCCTACATTGATTGTGGCGGGCCCCCAGAAGATATAGTGAGAGAAGTGACGGCAAGGTTGAAGGAGAAGAACTTGGAGAAAATGCTAGAAGAATTCACAATTTTGTCTTCTGTGGTCACTGATTCATCGTCATCTTCATCAGATGAAGAATCTGTGCTGTCCCCAAGAAGGTCATTGCCAAGGTCAGGAAGGTACAGTAGGTCCTTCAGCTACTCAGCCAGAATGGTGAGAAAAGCAGAGGCCATTGTGTGCCATCCCAAGAGCTCTCTAGTTGCTGTGATGATTCAGGCCATTGCTCATAGAGTGAACTATTTGTGGGTTATAGAAGATGATTTTAGCTTAGTTGGTATCGTCACTTTTTCCAATATGTTGAAGGTGTTCAGAGAACACTTGGAGCCATTTGCTTAGCTGATTAGGCGCGAAATCAAGAAGCAATAGGGAAGAGAGAGAGATCAGTATCTGTGAATAATGGTGATGGACCTTCTCTGTTCCGAAATGTTGAGTTTGTGAGTGGCGATGTTAGATGTTTGTTTTGCTTCATTTCAAGTAATGTATTTCGTTTCCTCTTTTTGAGATTTCCATTCATTTCTTCCTGCGTTTCTATGTCAGATAATAAAACGCTTCTTCTTCTTTGGCCATTTTAATACTGCGGGTTTCTTTACCATTATTGCACGACGCTTTATACTTTTTTACGATCACGTGCATCGGGTTGAGGTAAGCAGTTATAACTATAGTTGTTTACCAATACAAATTAAAAAAAAAAAAAAATCGCACTGTAGTTATGCACAAAAAGGGGAGAGTTATAACTATAGTTAAAAAAAGATTGCGTGTTTGGTGTTTTTTTATTTTTAAATAGAAGTATGAGCAACATGCCTATAACATCTATAATTAGTTTTAGTTAGCTTATTTTTAATGATTTTGATTTTACAATTTCTTCAGAGTAGGAAATGATTATCGAAATGAATTGGGTGGAGAGTGGAGACGACAGCAGCCCATTCCCAAAGGCAAGACTTGTTATCCCAAACATTTTTATAAACTTATGAGACGAATAATTTTTAGAATCATATTCGGTAAAATGCAATTCCTACAGTTAAGTGACATTACTTGTTCCGGAACAAATAATGTAACTTTATATGTCAAAAACCTTTGAAAATTTCTCACTTGTGACAAATTTGTCAAAAAAGAAAATCTGTACAAATATAATCTATAATAATTTTTATTATTAAATCATAAATATTGTAATTCATCTCACATTCTGTGCAACAAAGAAAAAGGACTCTCCAGTATCATTTAGTTACATAATATCAATTATGTCAAATTGTATCTAAGATTTGTCGTTTTTGCTTTGCACAAATATTCCCATACTAGATACAATTCAGGAATAAGATTTTTAGAAGATAAATTCCCAGAGGTTTGATGAAACATTTGAAATGAAATGAAAGAAGCCCATCATATATCGCGCCATTGTTTTTTTGGACGAGTTTTTACATGAGACAGGCCCAAGTTTACCATGCGGTTTCATCACCTGTCACAAAAATAAATTTTACAGAAACTAAGAAAATTATTAAATAACATCAATTTTTGTAAAGTTAATCCATCATGCTTTTTAAAAAATATCATTGGTCTTATTTAAATAATACTAATAATTTAATGCATTTTTTGAATCTGAAATTAATAAGGGGAAAAAAATAAAAAGATGTTAATAGAATTGTTGATCCTTACCGTTTAATCAAATTTTGATTTTAATCACTGTAATTTTAAAATAGTTGGCTTTGGTTTTTATAGTTTTCTAAAGACTTGATTTGAATTTAAATATAAGGATCAAAATCGAAACTCGTTAAAAGGATAGGGATTATTTGTTAAATTTAAATAAAAAATTACGAAACTATAGGGATCAAAATCAATGATTTGAAACTACTGAGATCAAAACCAAAATTTGATGAAAGGAGTAATAACAGTATTAAGTTATTAACCCATTACAAAAATAAAAAGTTAATGCAATCTTAAAATCTAAAATTGACAAGTATTATGAGAGATATAAAACATCATATATGTGACAGATAATATGAAATGAAGGAAGTACTTCAACACGGCAGTAAAAATCATACTTGAGCATCTTACCAAAAAAAAAAAAAATCATACTTGAGCAAATGCGACTTTTTGAAAGATTCTCGAACTGTTATTTGACCAATTCTTTTAAACAACTAAATTATATCTATATCTGGCAAAAAAAAAAAACTACTACCTCTGGTCCTTAATATAAGACCTTGTTTGACTTTTATTTTGATTCTAAATATAAGATCCCAATCCACTTTGTCTCTCATATTTACTCAATTTTTTCCAAGATAGTCCTTCTAATAATTATAGTTCTAGTTAATACATTTTATTAGTAAGGATATTTTAGGAAAGACAACATCTATTTAGGACAAATAACTAACTCAACTTACTTTCTTAATCTCCTCAAATTAGTCAACTGACTCTTATAATTAAGACCGGAGGTAGTATATATTATGACTTTCACATGCACAATAATTTCACGTGACAAATATAACAAGCCATGCTTAATTTTCTTAATTTAAAAAACTGGTTTTCTAGGATTCTGATGCAGATTGAATCTTGGAATTTGAAAATTACGAGGAAAGTTGCATTAAAATAAAATTTCACCATGTGATATGGTGTTGAAATTAAGGAGCAAGGCAAACGACAATTGATTAAAGAAAGATAACATGACAAATACTGGTAATCACATAAATAAAGGTTGACAGATTTCTAAGCAACATGCTAAGGGATCACACTTGTTTCTTTATTCAGACAAATCCATCATATTTTTTGGGGACTGTTTTGTCTTTTAGATTAATGCTAAGTGGAAAGCAGTTCAAACCTCAAAGTTAAACCCATATCTCTTTTTACAAATTTTTATTTTTATTATATGTTTGTATTTTTAACCACCCACCAGTAAATATCCTCTTTAACTGTCAAGATTTATGGTTTCGGACTATTAGTAGAACTCCTTCGGTCCTTAATATATGACCTAATTATTGAGTTGATTTTGATTCTAAATATTAGACCTATGTCTCATTTTATCAATTTTTTCTCTAAATTTCCTCTATGAACTCCCTCAACTATAATCAAGTAGAAAAGGGAAGGAGGATATTAAGAAAGATGATTATGGTGTTTTAGAAAAAACATATCATATTTCTTATAATTAACTAACTTACTCCTCCGGTCCTAAATGTAAGACCCTTATGCTAGTGTGTATAAGGGTCTTACATTTAGGACCGGAGGAGTACCTAACTTATTTAATCTAATCAAATTAGTTAAATATGTTTTATATTAATGATTGAAAGAGTACTAAATTTCTCATGATCTTGTTGCATACGGTGATCTAAAGCACAATTTTATGGGTGCTTTAATTTAATGGATGTAGATTGATATTCGTTATTTTTCTCAGCTACGGTATCTGGATGTCAAATAGCACTATGAATATAATGATAAGAATAGCAGCTTTGGAGCTGATACTTGGGATTTAAAATTTGACAAATAACATCATTGCTCTTTTATTTTGCCATTTATGCTCCAGCCATTTTAATGATCTTTGTTTTCCCACTTCGAAGTTGTTTTTTTTTTTTTTATACAAAAGAATTTAGGTGAGTTGGGTCCTAGGAGCTCACCAGGGCTAAGGCATGCCTCCAGGCTCAGAGAGCGCTGACAAAAGTACTGACAGATTACCCACTAATAAAGTCCTCACATCGACAGTGGAATTCGAACTCACAACTTTGCGGGTTATGAGCTGACTCCTTACTAACTAGACCAATTCTTGTTAGTACTTCAAAGTTGTTGCTAGGAAACAAAACCTTCAATCCTGGCTGATCAATGATATTTAATTATTTATTTTTGAAAAAATAATGTTTTTTCCGTTAAGAGGTTTGAACACGAAGACCTTGAATGCTAGAATGCCCGAATTGGAAAACTTGCTACTCCTCTTCCCTTTAATGTAAGACTTAATTAGAGAGTTGATATTAGTCTTATACGTAAAGCTTATTTCATATTTTTATTAATTTTTTTCCAAATTAACTCTATTAATATTCCTCAACAATAATTAAGTAGGAGAGAAAAGAAGAGAATTAAAGAAGATGCTTAGGATATTTAAGAAAAAACATATGACATTAACTAAATCAAGTAACATTCTTAATCTATTCAAAATAGTTAATTAAATTTTACATTATAAATAAAAGGAGTATAATTTCGTATTTTACAACGCCATTGATCAATATTTGATCATATTGAACAAATGACTGATTTTGATTTCCAGGAACATCATTGTCTAAAGTGAAAATACGTTAGATGAAAAGTTTGGTTTAATTCATTTTAAGTAATTTTCATTCTACGAGGTCAATATAAAAAAATAATTATCTCAAAAAAACAATGGAAAAATTTGATAAGAAGTGGCTTGATGAATCGATTATCGTCCACTTCATTATTCCTCCTGAAAAGTCCCATCTTGTCAATCACCAGTCTCAACACGAGATTATGGGTTTCCTCAAAACATAAACATGATGAGAACAACGACAATAATCTCTAGGGTTAAGTTTCCTCTTTTATCACTATAATACAACATAAAGTAGCAATCTTAACAGCGACAGACTAAAAAAATTTGGTGTCTGTCTGATATCAAATGGAACAAACCTCCACAAAAGACTGGTTGCTCGAGGAATTGTCAGTCTCTTTCTGAAATAGCATCTAGATCTTCGTCATCTGTATCTTTAATGAAAATTTCCGTTGGCTCAAGACATCCTCTTACTGTGTCCTGTCCGAGTTGTGCTCTTTCATTGTCTCCAAAACCAAAGATCTGTCCTCGGTTAGTGATTACGACTGTGTGGTACAGCCCAGTGCTGATCTGAGAAACATGATGGGCCCGAAGAGTATCGAGGATTCGTGGCTTCATGACTTTATCTGATAGCCTTCTGTCCGAAAATCCAAGGCTTCCAAATCCCATCCATCCGAAGCCAAAGACTGAACCAGAATCAACCAGAACGAAAGTTTTCCTCTTTCTCGCACAGACCTACAGATAACAAAAAGCTTGACTACGGATAGGAACAGGCAGTCTCAAAATCAAACGATAGAGATGATTGAATTTTACAACTTTCCAAATTACAAAGGCTGGATTTTTATAGAATATAATAACAGTAAAATTCAGTTTTGATCCTTTGGCAAATGATACTCGGTGGCTTTGATTTTGATATCAGCCACTTGAAGTTATGTGACAAATAATCTCTTCAACTTACTAAGAAGTCAAGAAAATAAAAGGAATGAACAAGTGGCAAGCTGCCAAAATTAAGAATAGAGGGGGTGATTTGCCAGAAGTTCAAAGCTAAATGAGGTTATTTGCAACTTGGCCATTTATTGTTTTTGTTTTTCTTTTCTTTTACAAAACAGATTATCAAAACTTGTAGGGACAATACCTGAACAGCCAAGTGACTCTTGAGACTGGCCAAGATCTCTGGAGTTGTCTTGTCAATTTCATCCCCATGGCCTAAAGCACCACAATAGCCCTTGCCCCATGTATATACCTGGAACAACAATAACAAACTATGAATACTTACAAGCACTAGAGAAACGCAAAATCAAGGTATAACCAGCAAAATCAAAACAACATCTTGTCTGACGGAACTCACAAATCCATTTGAATCAAGTGCCACTGCATGCTCATCACCAGCAGAAACACGGACCACATGGATACCTTTTCTTCTAAATGTCTGAATAGCACGTGGCTGAAACTCATTATGTTGCTCACCATGGCCAAGACAGAAATTAGAACCTGATCCAAAGGAGTATACTATTCCATTATCCATGACAGCTAAGACATAGCTTGGTCCGGCAGCAATCTGAACAACAGGACCAACCCCACCAAGCATTTGAACCAGTTTGGGGGATGGTATATCCTGAGTGTCACCATGACCAAGTTGGCCACAAGTGTTGGTCCCACACGTGTACACATGACCTTGTCTGGTGAGGAATACTGTGAAGTTAAGCCCTGCTGCAACCTGAGAGAAGCCCCCTTACTTCAGCAGCTATAGTAAAAGCCTTAGCAGAACAATCTTAATGGAATGCAGAAGATTACAGCATGCGATTTACTGTTAATATCAGCTAAGAAAGGATATTCTCTAGACACAAATTTGGTATGAACATATAGTCTTCTAACAATCATTATTTTTCAAACCAGCAAAACGATAATCATCTTATGGATGATGAACTATATAATTTACCTGCGTGCAATGTACCCCCTTTAGGGCTTCAACAAGCCTTGGCCTAAAAATCGGACGGCTTGTATCTTTGTGGCCGCAGCAAGATGAAGAATTGTCTCCACACGTGAATACCTACATCAGTCAAACATAATATCTCACGTTGATGATGGAAGCAAGTAGCAATAAATCAATTCAAAAGCCATCTTTTTCGATGCCAGAGACGACAACTATCAAAATTTAAACATTTTTTTTTAATCAATCACGCATTTATATTGCTACATCAGTTTTCAAAAATTCCTCCAAGTTGCTTCTTGAAAGAACAGATTTTAGAAACCACTAAAGAAGTGCCCTGAAGAAGATCCAACAGATAAAGTTTGTATCTCAGTCAAAAAGCATCACAACCAAAAGCTACAGCCTTTCCAAAAAAGACCTTTGATTTTTTTTGAGAAAGAGTATATTCAAGCATCTAGAAATTTCCTTTTCCCCCTTTCCTTTTCTTTTTAATGTAAAAAAGAACCTTGGGAAGTAGCTTTGGGGCTAGTCCAGTCAAAAGGCTTGCACCTTTAAGATATTGCTCCACTAACATGAAGACAAAGCAACATAGGCATTGCCTAAGCAACGAGAAGTAATCCAACAACCCATTTCATTACTAGAGAAAAAGATGTATAAGTAGAAAGAACTCCAGGAATTGTTTTTGTGCAACTCACTTCTTTCATTAGCAACTTTTGTCATAGATGGCATTGGTGGAAGCTTGTAGGCTCCAAAATTTCTACTCTGGTTTTAGTCTCTTCTAATTCCCATCAGAACATTCTTCAGCCGTTTGACATTAAGGAATTTATTTTAGAACAAAAGAGAAGCAAAATGATAAAAAGAAATAAGCAAAGAACAAAGTAGATTTCCAAAAATGTCTCGATCTATACTTCTAGCCTGCCCCTTCATGCAAAAGCAGTTTAAATCAAAGCATAGATCTACCCCAATCTCGTACTGAAATTTGATATATAGTAGGAGTGCAGGGGCAGGAAGCAAACAAATAACTAGTGGCTTCATAGAGCTGTCTCAATAAAGGAGAAGCAGTTACAAACCTCTCCAGATTGCATGACAAAAGCTGCATGATTATAGGAGGCTGACACCAGAGCCACACGAGCCAACGGTGGGAAATCAAGCCTCGTAAATGCCACACATTGTGTTGTTTCAGGACCATGACCAAGCACACCACACAATCCAGAACCACAAGAGTAGGCAGAAAAATTGCTGACAAAAAAGGTGTGATACTTTCCAGTCGTAACTTGCATCTGCCAATAAAATGCCTTCCACCAATAAATATATATGTGTGACATTTCTATCGAAAGAACGGGCAGAAGACAACAAGATATTAAGTTTGCAACAGTTATAACTAATTTCCATATGAAATGCGTTTTTGAAGGGGGGAGAAACAAAGGTAATACATAAATCTGTCAACACTATGAAACTTAAACTTTTAAAACATAGAAAAGTCCAATATCTTTTTTCTTGGATTACCTGTTATTATTTACAGATGCATCAATAAAATCTCTAATTAAAATACGATCATTATGTGGAAGGAGACAGAGAAATAGAGTTGTATCACGTCTTCTGTTTGAAAAACCTTAAGTTGCAAGTTAAAGGAAAAGTATCCGATCCTTCAGAATAATCTTTTTAAGAAAAATGAGTAACTTTTTCATCTAGGACAATAAGGGGTATAGATAAATTGAATAGAGCTATCCCAATTAAAAATTGTTCATAAACCACAAATGACTTCGTAGCTTTTTAAGAAACATAACAGTTTATACTTTATACTACAAATTTAGCTCCGTTACTCCAAAGATGATCCCGAACATAAATAAAATGATTCCTTCACAAAAGGAAACAGTACATTGCCTGATGATGTCTCGGCCATCCCAGAAGATTGTTCCAGGGACTGCAAAAATCTCAAAGTTCGCTTCCAGTTTCCACCACATCGATCATATAACTCCCTCTGAGAATTCAAACTCATACTTGAATAGATAAGATGGGAGGCAGATAGTTGATATGCGGCGAAGTTCACCAATGACCGAAACTTGGAAGGGTACCAACCGTGATTCCCACCAAAAGTCTTCGAAGTCAGCTCTAAACAAACAAGGTCGACTGCACTAAGCCTGCCTGAGCATAGGATCTCTAGAATTAAATGTGATGGCAATTCCTCAATGGAAAGAGGTCTAAAGCGATCTCCCATCCTTAACAGCTTCTCTTCAATCCCGCCAAAGAAATTGTTTTGCGATTGAAACAAATTGGAGACTCAGACGAAATCTTAACAATCACAGGAGTTGAATTTCACAGTGACAACAAGTACAGACTCACTTCTGGAGCAGAGTTTCAAATTTTGAGACGAAATCTCAGGCAATTGAAGCAACATATAAAGAAGACATCAGAGGGAAGAAAAGGATGGGAAATTGAGTACCAGAATGGATAATTTGCGGGTGATTGAAACAGTGATTGGAAATAAAACATCAGAAGGGAACTAATCACAATCCCCACAATTACCGTATAATCAAAGAAATTTTGGAACTTTCCCTGCAAATCAATAACACCCTTGTCAAGAAAAAAAGGGGCAAAGGGAGAATACAGGAAGAAAGCAAGTTAGATTGAACACACTGATATGATGGTGAAAATATGTGATACGAATTCAGTTAGCGCAGGAGAAACAAAGGAGGATCTTTCAACTAAAAGTTTTAGCATTAATTTAATGTGAGTAGTAGTTAAAGGAAAGCAAACCATTGGCGAAACCTTACCGAGGAATACAATTGAAACGAACTGGCTTTACGGGGCCAATCGATGGCTCTTTTTCTTGGCCGAAAATCGTCGAGCTCAAGTTCCAAGTTGCTGAATTAATGGTTGCAGCAAAACACAAAAATGAACAACAGAGAAACGAATCGAGATAGTGATGGGTTTGGTGGGGCTTCAATTTCCACAATGAAAGCACAAAAAGCTACGCTAGGGTTTGGATTGGCATTGTTTATGACATTTCCTTGCTGTCATGCTGCCCTTCTCTCTCTAATGAAGTCTTGCTTGCGAATCTTTTCTCTCTCTAGAGAAGATTAAGGCAGGGACGAATGAATCTCAGAGCGGGGAATTTCATGGCTTCTCGAAGCCTGGTAAAACAGCATCCCTGCCTCTGCTGGTTCTGTCATCTGTTTTTGTCGTGGAGCTTCATCACACGTGGACTCTTAATTTGTCGCCACGTCAGCATAAGTTTTGTCACGGGTTCCAAATTGGAGGGAGAAACTACGAGCATATCAAAGTTCGTTAAGAATTATGTATTCCTTTGGACCTATTTATCAAATATTTTAAATTTGGACTAAGAAAAATTTTAAATTTTATTAACTCTTATTTAAAATTTAATAAATTTTTAATTTTATTCTTGTTTAATATACATTATACCTCATATAAATAAAGTTAATACAATAATAAATGAGGGGTAAAATTATACACTTATACAAAAAAATTTTTTTTAATACCCTATAAATAGGACCAAAAAATACATTCTTTCTCTGTCCTATAAATATGACTAGAGGAATACCAATTTGAGGTCAAAAATAAATTATGTAAAAAAAATCATAATATATATTAAAAAGACGTAAAATTACAAAATCTAATAGGCATAGAGATTATGACTGGCAAGATCCAAATTTGTATAATGATGAATTAATTAGGTCACATGGGTCATAGTCAAATTTTATAGGTCGAGGCATGCTTACAAACATCAATTATAGGGGAACCATCAAGTATCAACTAAGTTTTGGCAATAATTTTTATAATCAATACTTGAAAAATGAGTTAAATTCTTATCAATTAAATTAAATATTGGTCCAATTTTCTTTCGAGGTAATAATAATTTTTTTTAAAAAATAATTGGTAAATACTCTGAGGACTTAATTCTCCTCAGTTGAAATGTTTGAAATTTTTAATCTAGGGAGAAGGCAGAAATAGTAAAGTTTCTTTCAACAAAGGTGAAAAGATAGTACGTGGAAGGAGTGGGGAAAGAGGAAGACAGGACAAAGGACATATTCAAGCTTCTTGTTAATCTCCACTCATTTTCTCAGTCCCAAAAAAAAAAATCTCCATTCATTTTCGTGTATTTTGAGAGAGAGAGAGAGAGAGAGAAACTTTTTTCTAGTCTTCGCAAACATCGATGCCACTCAATTTTTCGTTGCTTTGCTTGCGGGTCAGAGATGCATATATGAAACTAGCACAAATAAGGAGAAGGTTAAAAAATGAGGATCACCTTCTCTTATGTGTGTATATATGAGGATCCCACAAGAGAGCTTCTACTAATAAGCCATGAACTACATCAGCGAGTTTATAAGAAAGTGATCCTAATTTTTTTTTATTATTAAGTTTGGATAGAGACTAAAGGTCTTGAGCGACCAATCTGGCAAAACAACTTAAAAGATAAAAAAGTATCGTTAATTTCTTAGTACTCGTTTTACATTCAAAGCATTATTTATACAAATAGGAATCTCCCTTGTTACATGATTTTTTTTTTTCATATAGATAGATACAGGATCTATGGAGCAATTATTTAGATGTATCTTTTGTGAAACAGCCCTTTCTATTTGATATTCCAAGTGTGTATATATATCATGTATTGGTTGATATTATTCTTGTGAGGGATCCAATATTGGTTAGTATTTAACAAGAAGCATAATCATTTGAACTCCTACATATAAAAATTTCATTAGCCGCATTAATTATCTAAGAAAATAATTCCCAAGATGCCTCATCAAAGGGTTTAGCAAACTCTACTTTAAAACTCACCAACCCCACTTGTACTTGAGTTTTTCTTATACTGGACCCCTAATATTGTGCTGCCAATAGAATGTTGTGTGAAATTAATCCATTTCAGAAAGCGACTATGATTTGGAGCAGTTAAATCTTGAAGAAACTACTTCAACTTAGCCAACAAGACTAGAATTATTTTGGAGGAAACATGCATAGATTGGTTATTGGCCTATAATCTTGGATTAATTTTGATAGTCTAGGCTTTTCTTCGGTAGCTTCTCCCAAAACCCATCATCAATCCTAGTGGAATCTGCTTTTTCATCTAATGATGCGCTTGTTCCCAATAGATTCCTTAGTTTAAAATTTTTTGAAAGTCATCCCTGTCTTTACATATTTTAAACGTTAGGTTCTTGTAGCAAAACTTTTTCGCTTGCGGGGAAAACTTCTGAAATATACATCTATGCCGTTATGTGGTTGAAATCATGCCCCCACTTTTTCATTGTTTTACACCCACACAACTTATTGGCCCCAAAAAAAAAAAACCCACACAACTGGGTCGGGTAAGATCAGCAAAGCATTAAGCAAAGGGTTAAGAAGTTAAGGGTTTATCTTGGATGATGAATTCTTAAATGGATCATTAGACTGGTTAATGAGATTGGATTGTTAATCTAATTTGCCACTAAGACAATAAACCTAGCAGCCACCTATACTCATTGCAAAGTGGATTGATGTACATTCCATCTTGGGTGATTACATAACATCCTACCTCTTACCTTTAATATAATAGTTAGTTGAGACTAATTTTGATTTTAACTCTTAGATATGAGACATCAACCTATTTTGTCTTCCATTTCCCCCCCAAAATATCCTCTCTCTTTTTGCCAAACCCCAAAATATCCCTATTGATTGTAAAAAATTCTCATTAAAAGATGATTCTAATCACTCAACGTATATATTAAAACTGATAGTTTAGAAAAATCAATACATATTTTTAACAAATAACTAAATTTAACTAGTTTTTTTAATATCCTCAAATTAGTTATTTAATTTTTATATCAAGAACTGGAAGCAATAGTTAACCTAAGATGAGTGAAAGATAGTTTGAAGGACATTACACCAATTGAACCAAAGATTAGCAAAGCTAAGATTAAGTACAACATACAATGAATGTAAAAGTCAAGCATTAAACTAGAGAGAAAGTATAATACGCTTGCATTTGCAGTATATATTACAACATTTAAGCCTATCCAGCTTGCGTTTCAGAATCGGGTGCTATTCTGAACTTAAGAACCTTGTGAAGTTGACACGAAGGTTTTACTTGCTTCGTTGGAGGTTGACTCGAATCAATTATTTTAGTTCCAGAGAAAAGATTCACTTCAGATGGGCCTGTCTCTTCATGAACCACAGGAGTATCTGCAAAGTAAAAACCTTTATCATACAACTTGAACTATACAAACTCTTACTTGTGGGAAGACAGAGAGTATATATGCTAAACCAGTCTCTAACAAAAGAAGTCTTCGACTATAGTACGGTTGTCTTCTTTACATCGGAAGAAAAGGCATTATTAACGGGTAATTACAGCTTGGCAATTTTTTAGGCAATACAATTAGTTGTTTTGATCTTCTGATTGGCTGTGCTACAATCCCCAATTACTAGTTCAGTTACAGATAAAAATATACTTCAAGATGGAGTAACTGAAAACTTTGGCAACTGCATCTTGAAACAGAGAAAATTTCTTATAAGGAAGGGCATTGACATTCGTGCGAAAAATAATGGTCCACTATTCTCGTCCTATTTTGAGCCAGACAGTAGATATGTTTCTCTTCACTTGGACGACATGCAGAAGAAGCAGCTTCCTAAATTCAGTTATGAGGAAACCGTTATAACAATATTTAAATACTAGCAAACAAGGAGTGCTTGACAATTCATTCTAATCCTCCAACTCTCGGATTTTTTTCTTTCCCCAGAAGATTTCAGCACATAATTGTAACTCACCTTCTTCTGTAAAGACAATACATGTGCCAATGGTCTCCTCATATTCCCCAACCTGTAATAGACAATGAGGAATCACAACAACAATCCTTAAAATAGTCATCATACATTCAAAGGACAGAAAAAATGAAAACAGAGTGGTTACAGAACGAAAGCTAAATTCCACCGCAGCATCTGCACAAATAACTACGGGCCTGTTTGGGATATCGATAAAAAACATTTATAAGAATGTTTCATGTAAACCAAAACAAAACCCTTATTACATACTTCGTATTCCGTAAATCATGATTGAAAAACTAGTTATAATTCTAACAATTCAATTCAGGAATCACTAGCAGAAGGTTACATTTAAATAATCAATCACTTGATGGAACCCCGACACTAAAGCTGATATTATTTATGAAACAAGGCTATGATAATTGATATCCCTGCCCACCGCAGTAAATGGGCAATAGGATGGGAGCTTATGGCAGTCATAGTTACAGTAAGAAAGGAAAATAAACAACAAGATCACAAAATATTCAAGAGACCCTACAAGCCAAATGGTTTCTCCTGTCTCTCACACCTCAAGTCACAATACATTTTTCCCACTAGCCGCTCTACTACTTTTCTCAATTTCACACCACACACCTCACAACCTATGTGTCAGTTGCAACCACTAGGCCACCTCAACAACATTCCCTCAAGCCTTGGCTATTAATCATAAGCCCATCATTATATAACATCTAACGTACATAGTTGCTTCCAAATGAATGGCTATAAAGTATAAATCTTCCGGACATCATCACTAGATTCACATGAGAATTTGTAGAAAGGAAAAAATCGACGAAATATCCACCAGGAAGCAGTTTGTACCAGATGGAAAATATCAGTCATGAAATTTTAATCCAAATGTATCGAAGATAAATAGGAAAGCTAGTAAAGAATAAACAGGGCCACAATAGACAAACAATGCGCGAAACTAGTTCCAGGATGCAGCAGCAATTAGCTAAACGTAACGGACACTCAAGGCACCGTGCATTGACGGAGAGTGAGAATATTGTGGATACTTTCAACTTCTATCAAAATGCTGCTATTATTTTTTTTCGCACAAGGAATAAGACAGAATTTCACTCTCATGGATAAATAGTGCAATCAATTTGAGGAAAAGTAAAAAGACAGAACATGTATCATGTCAAGAACAAGTTTGTCTTTTGTAGATTCATATCCAAATTTAATACAAAGGTAACTTACCAGCTTCAATTTGTCATCAATGATCAACAGTGGGTTCAATGTATTTAGGCCCTACAATTAATGATACATAATATAAGAACAGTTTGCTAAGTTAAGATCTGATAAATCAACAGATAATAAATTTACAAACAAACCATTGCAAAAGGCATAGAAAAAGGCAGAGAAAAAAATGACAGCGACAAGATTCAGTTCCTTTGAACTGAAACAAAGTTGGCTTTTCAAAACAGGATATGAGATTATTTGGCCAAGGAAGAAAACTAGTTAAACTATCAACACTTGCCATTATTCTAATAATTTATTTTAAAAAGACTCACATTTATAATGCATTCTTCAATAACCACATGAGTCATAAACAGTCAGAGAATTTTTATTTACAAACCATTTTGAACGGTACACAATATTGATATGATACTTTAAGAGTAATTTTTTCTTAAAGAAAAGGATAATGATCTGAATGTTAATACATACAGTTAGAACATATTTAGCGTTTGGAGGAATGTCAAGACTCCCAGAAACACTATCCAGATCAAGCAAAACATATTCTTCTTGATCCTGGTGATCATGGGACGATACATTTGTGTCCATACTCCTGTGCCAGTTACAAGTAAGAATACCATTTCATAATAACTATAAAGAAAGAAGAAAGTTCGTGAATAATAAGCAGAAAATTTCACCTTTCAATCGCAGTCCTTTCTGTAACTTCTTCCTTCGAAGAACAACCTTTGAAGTCTCCGCCGCCAGTCCGTTTAAAGTCTGGCAACGCCGTTGATTAATATGATAAGAAAGACAGTATGATGAGCTGAAGAAGTTCGAGTATATGTTTGATTTCAAGTTTGAAATCGCAAAACCGAGTTTCAACCCAAATCACTGAGTAACCAAACCACACTTAAGCGCAGCCAAACTCAATTTGCCCTAAAAACCGCCAAGCATTAATCAAGGTCTGAATATTTCTCATCTATCAATATTGTCCATCCTATCTACGAAACAAGAATTCCAGAATTTATATTCACGCCGAGAGAGAAGAAGCAACAATTCCTGTTCCAAAAATCATTAATCATCGACGTTCAGAGCTTCACATTAATGACATTCCATCCCTCACGACAACAGAGCCACCGGCCACGAAGTCAACGGAAACGAGTAGAAGTTCAGGTATTCGTGGAGATGGAGGCTGTAATAAAGAATAAGGCCGCAGGCCGACGGAAAAGGAAGGATGACTTCGAACTCGTTCAAGTTTGGGGCGGGGAAGACTGCCGTGAATAATAATCGCCAGTTCGCCGCCAAAACGTTCCACAGGCCCATATTCTGATTAATCTCAAGAGAAAATTAGTAAAAAAATTCTGTTTGAAATTTTAATTGGCAAGGACATAAAATTGTACAAATATAAGTATGATTCATGAGTATAATATGTCATCTGCTATACATATATTTCGGTGTTTTAAGTTAATCTTTTCATACTTTAGTTCAAAAAATTAAATAAAAACAAATTTTAAAATAAATTTAAAATCTAATATTAGAAAATAAAAGACAAAGAAGATTTTCTTTTTGTTACATAAACTGATAAAAGTCACGTTGTCATGTTTGGGCCAATCCGATAAGTTGGCCCATATATTATTTGGAAAACTAAGTCCAACAACGCCTCTTTGAGCCCAATCACGTCTTCATCACCCGAAGTCCGAGGAATTGTTAGAGATCATCCCCACCTTTCGTAACTTTTTTCTTTTTTTTTAATGTTCTCCATTTGATGAATATATTCAATTTTATTATAAAAAAAAGAATAATTTTTTACCCAATTTGTACCCCCTTCCCAAAAGTTACATGCAATGGTAATTGCACATTTCCCACTTATGTTTGTACGTCTTGGGGAATCACGGAATGATTATATCGGCCCAAATATAAGTAGCCCACATATTTAAAATGATCAATGCAATAAATTATATATTCAAATGTAACTTACTCAATTTTAAATATAAGATTCATTTCATAATATAATTTATATCATAAAATAGTTTTTATATTTACTATTAGAGGTAATATTACAGAAGTAACTGAGACTTAAAAAAATCCTTCTAGAATGTGATGAATAATGATAGGAGCCAGCATGTTCATTCAATGACCAACAGCTGGCCTGTGGAAGATAAAGTGACATTTTTTTTTGACCGACATTATTATGTTTTGCGATGAGTGTGATAGTAAGCATTCAATGAATATGTAGAAAAATAAAATGTTCGTTGGCAAAAAAGAAAAGACAACTAAAATGTTTGATATGTTCAAAATATATTTAATAGTATATAGACTTTTGCAAAGTCTTCCTCTCCTTTTATGACTGAATGCTTGTCTCTTTATTCAGCTTTGATTATAGCAGAGGAAAAAAGCTGGAACAATGTGGTTTTTGAGATGGATTGTCAGGAGTTATATGGCATTCTAAGGAGGAGGGATTACTGCGGGGGTGAGTGGTGTTGTTCTGATATAGTGCAGAAGTGTTTGGATGTCCTATCATCTAAACAAAGTTGGAATGTGGCTTGGATTAGTAGAGTGGGAAATAAGGCTGCTAACTGTCTTGCAGCTGAGGCATTAAGGGGAATGGTTCCTGAGGGATGGATTTCGATGCCACCATCTCCTTTGGTTGCTGTGTTGATTGCTGATTCGGAAGATTGTTTGGAGGCTTGCAGTGCTAGAACGGGCATTGGTTAATTCTTTTGTTTGCTTTGTCAGTTTTTGTTTCCGTGCTGCGGTTGTTTCTTTTTTCTTTTGGTTAGTTTGTTGTGTTTGGTTGTATGTTAGGACTTTTGAGTGTTTTTTTTTTTTGGCCTTTGGGCTATTAGTGGTTGTACTCTTTTGACTATCAATAATATGGACTTTTTTGCTCAAAAAAAAAAAGACTTTTGCAAAGTCAAAGTCGACGGAAGGTTGGTGTTTAGGGGTTCCACTGATAATATGAATGTTTGTCCCCGTCAAATATATACTTTCTCCAATCTTGTTTAGAAGTTATATTTTGTATACATTCTAAGTAAAACTTTCGTAAATTTACATATTAATCCTAATAAAATTTTAATAAACTTTTTGATACACGTACTAACATAATTATGTTTTTTGTATTACTTCCTCCAGTATTCATTAAAAAATAACTAATTTACAGATAACGAATAAGTAATTAAAATTAATTAAAAATAATAAATAGGTTAAAAATATAATTTTGTTTTCAAATGCGCCTTATAATAAATAAAAAAAATGATGAAAAAAATGTATTGGGAAATGTGACAAAAGGGTATAGCAAAAGAGAGAAAATAAATAATTAAGGACAAAAATAAAAAAAATACATTAAATTTAAAACTTATAAAATAAACTATATTTATTTTTAAATTTAAAATTTATAAATAAAACGAGAGCAAGTACCAGTATATTGTAATAGGGAGGATGTCACAGCATTGAGACAGACCAGGGGACTGGGAGGAGTGATTCCAGACTTCCAATGCATTGTGGAGTGAAGTTCGTAACGTTGCCCATCCCAACGTAGCCCGCACCACTCACCACAAATTTTCAGGGAAAAAAGAAGATACATTTATTGTATGATATACTACTCCGTTTTTATTATAAATTTTTTTAACTAAATTATACAATTTAAAAAAATAGTTAAAATTAGTTAAAAGTAATTAATATGTAGTAAATGTAATTTTTTTTCCAAACATATCTCTATATATAAATGAGTAAATATGAAAGAGAATGTATTAAATGCATTAAATTAAAAATAAAATAGGTAATAATGCATTAAATATTCAGATAAACTTAAAAAAATCTTATAAAAAGAGATAAATCTATTTAAGAAATTGGATATTATAATACGGAACGGAGGGAGTATATCAAGAAAAATAATAGTGCTACGTTCAGTTCTAAATATAACGTTTAATTCGTAATGCCATGGAGTGGAGGTGGTCTCATAAACTAATCAGTATTTATCAACAAAAAAAAAAAAAAACACAATAGGTCCGGTTAAGTCAGTGTATCGGCTGTTGTCTTTGTTGGTCTGGATTTGTGGTTGCGGCTCAATCTAGAATGATTAGGCCATGTGAAGCTGCTTTTACTACTTGAGTTAGATAACAGTAAATTAATTAATGTAGGTTCATGCATTTTGTCTAATTGAAAGTTCAACAACTCCCTGGCGTAGGACGTATATCAAGATTTAAAGAACATTTATAAAAATACTTATGTGTAGATTACTAGCAAAGTCTCATATAGGTAATAAAATTTGAAATCATGATTTTGTGAATTATGAACCAATTTTTTATTAATTGGATTAATCTTAGGATAATTACTTGTGAGGTCCCAAGGAAAAAAAAAACATAACTACTAAAAAAACTTCAAAAATAAATGAGGAATTGTCATTTTCTACATTAAAAGTTGTTATTGAAACTTTTTAATAATTATATTTTTTTTGTTGCATCTTATAGCAAATCTCCAATCTACCTTTGTTGGTCAATTTCGACATTTTTTTTATCAAAATTAAAAGGAAAAAATTTACTAATTCTGTCTACATACCAAATAAGTTTTATATTTCATCTATATTAAATACATCCTGGAAAAAGTTTATCATTTTCCCATGTTAACAATTAGTAGGAGTAAAAAAAGTAAAAAAAAGTTATACGAGTAGTACCTTATATTTAATGCCGAAGGTAGTAATGAACAGCCAATATAATGTGTTATAGAAAAAAAACCACAAAGCCTCTCCATCAACAGAACACTTTTTTTTAAAAAAAAGGTGACAAAATACCATTAATATATGATCCATCAATAGAACACAAGGGAGTATCACAACGCAGAAACAAATCCGACAAGAAGACGTGAAGGGAAGGGTATCTTTGGATGCGGTTTTGGAAGCCGTGGACTGTGGTGTGGTATTGTGAATGGGAAACTTAGACCCGGCTCCACTCCCCAAGTCTCATTTTTCAAAAAGTCTATATATAAACCATATATATTTGATATCTGATTGGTAAAATTAACTTTGTTCTGGTAGATACTGGAGCAGTTATTTATTTATTTTTTTGCCAACATATATTGGAGCATTTATATCTGATTAGTAAACAATACGCTAATATATTTAGTCTTTTAGATTAAACAAATAGATAATCATTTCAAACAGATTTGTTACATACAATGAAAGAACCATGTCCGCATTATCATGATTCACAGTTGAATAAGTTGAAAGCCTGAGGCAGTCGGTAATAGCTTATGAAGGAGCCTGATGAGAGGCATGTCCTGCATATATATACAGTTAAAGTCACTATCTTTGCCTAAATGTTGTGAAAGTCAGAGCCTACGTCAGGAATGACAGACAGTAATGCAATGCAGCTGGAAACGACGCGCTTCAACCCTTGCCTGAGAAAAATAAATGCAGTTAGATGAACCATTCAATGTATGTTCCTGCGGTTTAATGTTCTGAAGCTACTCACATAGAAATCTCTTGCCTGTGAGTTCCCCATATCTCTGACACTACTTGAGGTGGTGGGGTACCGGTATAATGTGGGATATAGGAAAGAGCTGGGTCTTTCTGTCGGATTTGAGAATGTTTGGCGAATCTGCTTGGCACTGTTGATCCGGACGAAGATCGGGGCTGAAGGTTTGCTTTTAGAGTTCCACTGATAGTCTGCAGGCACTAAAAAAGAAAGTCCAAGTTCATTTAAAGCTTTCTAGAGGGATTCTTCTTCTTCTTCTTGTATTGGAAACACCTTTGGGGGACAGTTTATTCCTCCGGGAGATCAATTAATAGTATATTTTCCTGTTAAAGAAGAAACAAGCAGTGGCTCCCTAGACTTAGTGTTGGTCTGTTTCTCGCTCAGCATACTCAAACTTGGGAGACAATCGTACTGCTAATGCATACTTTTTGAAAATGGCGTTAATGAGGTGATTGGGAAGACTAGAAACTTCCTTTTGGTACGTATTCTTCTTTTCTCAGTGTAGCATCATCTCATCAAGCTAGAGTCAGATTATGCATTGTAATATGAGTTATGCTTTTATAATCGTTGAAAGTTGGTCTTCAGTGAGGCCCGTATTTTAGGCCAATTGAAGTTGGCCCGTGCTACTTGAAGTTTGGCGAGTAATCAGGATACTTCATAGCTCAAAATGGCAGAAAATGTAGAAATAAGGTCATTGGCCTTGACTCCAACATGGTCTGTTGCCACTGTGTTAACAATCTTTGTTCTTGTTTCTTTCCTTGTGGAGCGCTCCATTCACCACTTAAGCAAGGTAAGAATTGCTACGTTCATTATTGATCTTTTGATGATTTTAGTCTTAAATCTGTAGGACTGCATAAGATTTCTGGATTTAAATTGCAAATGTGCATATAGTAAACTTCACGTAAAGGGATGTAACTAGACTTTCATCATGAGGTTGATTAGAGGAATGGAAGAAGGAAAAGGGAAGTTTTGACCAACAACTGAGAAAATTGATTCATAGATTTTGTACATTCTGAAGTGAACAATATCGTTAGCAGTTTTCTTTTGAGATGGGTTTTTCCAAGAAGATTCTTTTGCCTAAACTCTTGGTTTAAACTAAATGTAAAAGACGGAGCCAACTTCTACCATAGTTTAGCCAAACAATGCTCCACAAGGACCTGTATTCCCTCGATTTCGACTTGTAAGAGAAATCTGTGGGATGATCTTCAGGCTTGTTTGGTATATCTTCTTTTGCACAGTCATCCCCGGTGAGTTGCATTATTTCAGAATATTAACTGCTCACTGTCAAATGAAATGATTTACATTGAGAAATAAACTGAAAGGTTTGGGATGAATTCAAATGCGGCTGCATTTCTCTGTGGCTGCAGTGGCTACAGAAAACTAATCGAAAACCCTTACTCGCAGCTTTGGAGAAGATGAAAGAAGGTACCGTGCAATAAGTTCTACTCGCAATCTACACTGCCCAAAATTTATGTATTATCTTAATTAATTAACTCTTGTTATTTTGGCACTCTATCTTCAGAGTTGATGCTTCTTGGATTTATATCACTCCTATTAACGGCTACCTCAACAATGATAGCTAATATCTGCATCCCATCAAAGTTCTACAGTAGTACTTTTGCTCCATGCACTAGATCTGAGGTTGATGAAGAAATGGAAAAGAATGAACCAAAAGAACGTATGTTGTTGATGGCTTCTACTTATCCACACCTGGTCAGAAGGATGTTGAATGACATGAATCAAAACTCCTGCAAAGAGGTATATATACCTTGATGTTTAAAATTTTGATTGTTTATTTGCTTTTACTTCTGCAGATTAATGCGGGCCAAATTGGAATTTGTTCTGTCACACAGGGTCATGAACCATTTGTTTCATATGAAGGACTAGAGCAACTGCACCGATTCATTTTTGTGATGGCAGTCACGCATGTATCTTACAGTTGCTTAACAATGTTATTGGCAATTGTGAAGGTGAGATGTTATTTATGATAGGAAAACATGACCTCACTAGCATGTACTGATCATCATTGAAAAAATATGGGCCGAAGATTGATGTTCTATTTCATTTTGATCTATGCCTTGTCATGTTTTTGTCTTTTCCCTCTTATTTTTAATATGAAAATGAGAGTCAAGCTAAATGTAGTAACTGACACTTTTTGTACATTAGTTGTACTATTAGCTGATAATCTACTTGATTCATTTGTCATTTTACATAAAGACCTTAGCAAACTTTCACTAAACTACTTCAGATTAATCAATGATGATATTAGGTTGAAAATAGTGGTATTAACAATTGATATTGGAGTAAAGTTTTTTTTTTCCATAAAAAACTCTTCAAGATGATGGTCTATGCGAGTAAAAGCATATAAGCACTGCTTGATTCGTTTGCATACCACTTTATAAGCGGTGAATTTTCGTGAGAATACATGAGGTTAAGGAAAGAGTGCTCCACTGCTTCTGTTGAACCTCTTGAAGCTCTACACTTCCCCTGGGAAGTGGTTCAACAGTTTAATACTTCTCAATATAATGAGTCAGTCCCCTACCAGGACTTGATTTGAGAATCGAGGAATCAGACATAAACTAACATAGAAAATTAGAGGGGGGAAATGTAATGCTTTTTTTTTGGGGGGGGGGGGGGGGGCGCTTATATATGGATCATGGAATCATACCTGCGATAGTTAATGCATGGCCATAATTCTCATAGAAATAGCAAATGTAGGAAGTTCATTCCCAAATAATGGAAAATGATATTCGGTGTCAATGAGTGTTGAATGTTTTATTCACTGCTTCAAGTTGAATTGAATTTACAGCTGCATTAAGCAGCAATCTTTTTGACCCAAGAAATGATAACAGCACTCCAGGAGTATAATACAAATTCATGTAGAAAATTAGTAGTTCTTTCTTGGGTGATAAAATATCCACTTGGATAATAAATCATCAAGGTGCTAACTACTTGGGTTTTGTTTGATACGGAAACGTGATAATGAATACCAGATTCACAGTTGGAGGACATGGGAGGAGGAGGCTCACATGGAACGCCACGAGTCATTAGCTGGTGAGCTCAACATGGGTTTTTCTGCCTTAGTGACTCTGTGATTTTATATCATTGACAGATTTGGTCTTCATAGTATAGATTTAAGTTAGAGGTCCCAAGTTCAAATATGTGATTTATATCTGTAGTCTAGGGTTCTATTTGATCCTTTGTGCACCAGTTCCAAGTTCTATGATTGACTATGCACTATATAATAATCAGGTTATTTATCATACAAAAGCAATCCACTGCTTTATATGTATTAGTCATAGGCAAGCTAACCAATGTGATTCTAATAAAATCCAAAGCATTGAACTTCACTAAGGCCTATGAAAATACAGTTTGCAAGTCTACAAGTTTAGCCATCCACAAGTGACTAGTTCAGTTTTTATATTGAAACCAATTTCAAGAGTGATTAATCCCTTCTTGTGTTGCTACAGAGATGACAAGAAAGTTGACATTGCGAAGGCAATCAACATTTGTCAAATTTCACACATCAAATCTGTTGGTCAGAAACAGCTGTATGGTCTGGGTGGTAATTACAGAACTTCACCTTTTTTTTCTTGCTTCATTTTCTTGTTGATGCATTTCATTTGTGTTCTTTTCCCCTTTTTATTATTCATATCTTTTGATACTTCATTAGCTACATGGTATGCCTGTCCGTTTTTGAAAATTCTTGTCCCTGTTGGGTGGTTCATAGAAATGATCAGGGAGGTTGCTTGAAACATTGCAAAATGCATTTCTGGATTTTATAACTATGTTGTGTAAAATAAGACAAAAAGGTTTACTGATTTTCTTAATGTGGAGAAAGAGATTAAAATTCACTTCATAGTGTTCTTAATTGTATGAGTCACTTACATCTAACAGTTTCTATGGAGGCCTGATTTTCTTTAGAAGATACTTCTTTGTTACCCTGTATCAAAGAAGGGAAAGATGTACTGAAAAGTATATTTTTAATTCTCATCTGAGTACAGAGAGAGAATATATAGAGACACTATACTCTTAAACACTGCAGGACAGCTGTAACACTAACAAATTAACTCACTCTCAACACCCTACACTCTCCTTGATTCTATTTACCAACTAGCTCAAATGTCCAGGGTTCTATTTTGTTCTGTTTGTCCTGTATAATCGTAAATCTTTCTTATGTTAAGTTAAATTAAATGACAGACATGTTTTTTCCGACAATTTGGACGTTCTGTGGTTCGAGCTGATTATCTTGCACTCCGCAAAGGCTTCATTGAGGTATGCAGATGCCATAGTCGAAGGTGCCATTGTTACTTGCACTTGTCTTGTCTCCCCTTTATGACCATATGAAGCTACTTTAAGTGCCTTTTGTATCATATCCATCACAATATTTTTAAGTTCCTTGATGATATGTACCACTTTGGAATGTTTACTCAGTTTTCTTTTCCCCATATTCTTGGCAGAATCATAACCTCACTTCAAATTACGATTTCCACAGTTACATGATTCGATCTATGGAAGAGGAATTCCAAAAGATCGTTGGTGTGAGGTTAGTAATTACATTTATAATATGCTTGCAGCATCATGAACAACACTTTAGGCAGTTATTTTCTGACTTTCTGTTTATCAAATATACTTGATCTGTTTTATCCGTCTCTGCATTGTGTATGCTTTTAGTTACTTGTTTACCTGTGATTGGCATGCCTCATACTGTTAAATGAAAATTGTCAATTGTATCTCACCTTCATGACGAAATATCTGTACCATTTTAATTTAAGTCTCACAGCATATGTTTACTTATTCGTTTCTTCCTTCTATTTATCCAAAGTTCATTCTCATGAAGTATTCCATAGCCAAAACATCTGTTCTGTTTGCAAAATCATGCAGTGTTCCACTCTGGGGATTTGTCGTTGCTTTCATGCTTTTTGATGTCAACGGTATGGCTTATCACAACAGATTTCTCCCTCTTTTATGCCTCTTTTCACAAAAGAAGAAATTTCCCGTTAGATTACTTGATTTTGTTCACTCTTCTAACACAGTTCATTTGTTTCCTGATCAATGACAGGATCTAATCTCTATTTCTGGATAGCAATTATTCCTATTTCTGTAAGTTACCCCTTGTCATTTCTTTTGTACTTATCCTTCTTTTAATCCTTTCATTTGTCTTTTCCATGTATATAATATCAACTCCTCATCCTCCTAATTAAACCGATACTAAAATCACACTAAGACATTTACACCCTTTACTTGGGTGCACGACAAATAACTAGTTTTTAAACCGACCTGACTTTCCAAGTTCATATCATCTCTTGGACAGTTTTCATGTACCACAGAAATGTATATGTTGAGTTTCTTAAAAGGACGTTGTCATAAGCCATCCACATCAGAACTGTTTCTATCTGCATTGCGCAGAAATGCGTTTGTTACTTTATATTTCATCATGTATGTTGATATATTGATGTGT